TTCCACTGCCTTGAGGTATTCCATCACATAAAATCCAGACAAAATGCATTTAATTTTACGGCTGCAGCGTGACAGAGCGTGAATACTTCTCACCAGGCACCGGTCCAGCACATAAGAACTTCACAGACAGTACCGTTTCTGCTTCAAAGGTCGCAGTGACATGAACACATCGTTGTTCCCAAAAAAAAACCTGTATGGGTGTGGTTAAAGATGAGACATGAAGAAACAAGCAAACACACATATGGAATGTAGTAATAGTTTTATAAGCCTGTTTAACACAAAACACACCTACACAAACTGTGTGCAGTTACAAAGACATGCCTCAGCTGATTGACTGTTATTGCTCAAATGTTCGTCTCAGATGGAAACCTTCTGTGTTACAGCCGACGGGGATTAAAACCGGGGGGAAAGAGGGTCGACCGAAACCCTCCAACACTAATAAATCAGCTTCAGTTTATCAGCAGAAATAAAGATAAGTTCCAAATAAAAGAAATACTGATTGCTGCAAAGCTAATTTCTACACCCAAAGGTTTGCAAACAGCTCTGACATCCTTTGAACTTTGCATTTACCTTGAACGATAACAGAGATTTTATCAGCTGCAAGAGCGAAGAAAAGTTTGCTCATTTGTCCGAAAAGCACGACGGCAAAAGAAAAACAAGGGTTAATCAATAATAGCATGACATGTTTTTGTTCCAATCTCTTGTTTTAGTAAAACTCTGCTCTTCGTCAGGCCCTTTTTTTTTTCCTTCACTTTAAAGCTGCTTTAGATTCTACCTGGAAATATCCAGCACTAGAGACATAGCCTTACCTTGGATGTTCTGAGAATCTGGAGACGCACGCGTTCGCTGAAACTTTGTTAGCACAAAAGCAGCTCCAGCAATTCAAAGAAACCAACGCAAACGAGCCGAATAGTTACTGGAGACATTTTCATTGGTGTCAAAAAGAAGTGATTAAAGAAGTCAAATAAAAGCGACCTTCGATGTACTTTACTCTCAAGTAAATTATTAGAATTTACTTTCTGTCGAAACTGTACTTTACTCTCAAGTAAAGTACAGTTTCGACAGAAAGTTTGATAATTCTGGATAAAAAGTAAGGGTACAGGAGTTCAAAATGTTTTCACAATTAAACATTTTAAAAGTGTGGCATGCATTTATATGCAAACCCCTTTATTCTGGTAACCCCACATAAAATCCAGTGTAACAAAGTCTTTATAGAAGTCACCTTATTAGTTAATAGAAACGACTACAATGTTCTAGCTTTGAATATCTTAATACGTAATGTTCAATTCATGAAAAAAGAAAAGATTATTGAACGAATGTAAACCTGCCTAAAGATCCCAGTGATTTTTATTTTAGGTGACAGGTTGTTTCATCATCTTTGATTTTAGACGTCGATTAGAAATCTAAATGTAGGCTGGGTCTAGCAGGTCTAAAGACTGAAAGTTGGTCTCCTTTCCTCTTGATTAAAATCTGAAAGCGTGAACCAGGCAAGGTGCAGAACTGCACTGTAACCAAATGCGTAGATGACGCTTCGTTTTATTGCTGAGTGGATCAATGTCTATCATTTACGATTTCAACTTTATTGGTGTTTCTCACATGCCTGGGAGATCCTACAGGTGCTGCGTCATCTCTAAAAAAAAATCTACTGAAGAAGCCGAGCTTTTTCTGGTGATTTCCAGAAATGTACACCCTACAGCTGAAAATACACGTTGGATTAAAAGGTGTGTGGTTTCCATGCGCCTGTTCTGTTCAAATAATATACATTTTCTCACTGTTCTCTTACAAAGTCTTGATTTGCCCGTTGGTATTTTTACGACATGATCAGAACTGTAAAAAGGGAAATTCGTCCGTTCTGAATTCAGTGGAACTGTCTTTAAGTGTCGGTTTATGTTTTCTGACAAGTCGAAGCTTAAATCGCTTTAATGGTGCGTTCACACCAGCTAAGTTAATTCAGCTTTAGTCGAACTCTAGTTCGTTTGCCTAGAACAGTGTTTCTCAACTCTGGTCCTCGCCGCCCCCTGCTCTGCATGTTTTAGTTGTGCCTCTATTCCAGAACAGCTGATACAAATGATTGCATGACCATCAAGTGCTGCAAAAGCCTGTTAATCACCCAGAGATACAATCCAGGTGTGTGGCAGAAGGGAAATACCTAAAACATGCAGGACAGGGGGGTGGTGGGGACCAGGGTTGAGAAACACTGGCCTAAAAAGTCTAATTTTATTGTTGAGGTGTGAATGTGCATTTGAACTTTAGTCTGCTTAAAAATCTACGTTTCAGAATGACAAGCTGACTGGAGGCCACTCCAAAAGCAGGTAGCGGAGTACAGAGCGTTGCATTCTGGGTAAATACAACCAAAACGAACATGAGAGACTAGCGCTAGCTGGAGACTAAAGAGAAATCCTACAACCCCTAAAATCTGACGCCACTCCATATTTGTTTAGCTCTTGGTGCAGCGCCACCACAGGCGAAGGGGCTGGTTTGTTTGACACAGTTTGGTGTGAAAGTGAACTGAAAATGTAACAAATGTTGCAATTTTGGTTTCCAGTCGAACTGAATCTGCTGGACTATCAGGTGTGAAAACGTCAAATGGATCTGCTTGGTGTAAACCTTGATGAAATATTTAAATCTGAACATCAAACAGACAGAACATTGATTCGGCCTCTTACTAAGGTTTTCCTCCATGTTAAAATCAGATCTTTGCTCACTAGGACAGCCATTGTAACTCTGGAGGAGCTGCAGGAATCCAGAGCTCAAGTCAGAGACAAGTAAATCCGGCCTTCATGCAAAACCTTTATGCACTCCAAGCCTGTAGAAAAAGATTCACTGATCAAATTACAACAAAACTGAAACTTCTGCACGATTTGAAAGCTTCTGTTCATCTCTGTCTGAGTTTGAACTTTTTTTAGAAGACAATTGGGCAAACTTTCCACTAGAGTTGAAAACTGCTAGATTTTCATGTTGCTTCTGCCATCAATGACTTCCTCAGAAGAGGAAAATGCTTTTCCCTGGAAGACGGTTCACTCTGTTTCCTGAGAATCTTTGGTAGCTGTTCCTCTTTACGCCTCGCTCTGCCGGATCAGCGCGTCGCGTCACCTCTGAAGTCGAGCCTGGGGCGCAGTTTGAACGCCGCGCTAACTGCAGGTGAGAGGGGAATCCTCCCGTTTGTCACCTGGGCGTTGAGGAGCTGCTGAGTGAGGCCAGAGTAAACCGGGATTAACCCTTCCCACTTTTCTGCTTGACCAGCAACTCACTCAGCTCCTCTTGTTTTCACTTCTTTTGTCCTGATGAGTGTCCAAAACATTTCAATCATTTAAAGAGCTTTTCTGCTGAGAGGTCAGCCCGTTCACTCGCTCCGGTCCAGGTGAAACAGGAGACACACGAGGCTCTCCAGGGATTCATTCCTGGGATGCCAAGCTTTTGGGTTCATTTTTATGTTTTTGGGGAAAATTCTGCCAGAAACTGACTTCACACGTTCAGTCATGGTTTTAATTATGAGCTTTTTTTACAACCCTAATGTTGTGCAAAAACATTTGGTTGCTTGGACAGTAGAGGAAACTGTAAAGTTGAAATCAAATCAACTGCCAAATACATTTTCTTTTGGATTTAAAACGAATAAATTCTCACATACAGCTGTCTCAAATTACAATGGCTTCTAAAAGTTGATGTATTTTTGGAAATCAAATCAAAAAAGTTAAATTTTATGTTTGATTATATTTCCTACATAAAAATGTTATGTTCTACTTAATATTAAAATCTAAAATTAAGCTTAATAATTCTCAGCAATAAAACCAAATCAAGATAAGAGTCACTCTTTCCATTTGAAAACATTTGCTGTAGTTTTAATGAATGAGTGTGTCCAAAACAAAAACCTGAAGTTTTTTATTTTTTCATTTGTTTCTCTGAAAATCTTCCCTTCAAAATGTTTTTTTAAAAGCTCTCCATTGACTCCTTGCCACATTTGCACCATTGAAGAACTTATAAAACCAATACAAAGGCCGTGCATTTTAATGGAAAGTTAGGTGGAAGGAAAAATGTCATAGAAGAAGGTGAAAAGGCAAATGGGTTGGCCTTAACTTTCAGAGAATTTGGAAACCCATTCAAGAAAAGGGATTCGCAAGACAAGAACTGCAGCTGGAATCAGAACTTCAAGCGTCACCACAGACACTCATTGCGTTCATGACAAGCCGTATTTGTCCGTCGAATCATTAAAAAACGAATCCTAACCGAGTATTTTGCTAATATTCTGCATACTTTCTAGTAGGTCAACATTTCTGTGACAGAATAGGCCTATGAGATATAGAATGCAAATGAAAATGGCTGTAAACAGATGCACAATTATACAACTGTACATTGTACTTTGAAAAGCAGAAGTAGAGCCTCCTGCACAACCAACAAGAATGCAGCAAGTGGTTTCTGAATACGAGGTCAACAACAAAACACTTGTCTTTTACAGCAATGATTGTTGAGCACATACAGAGGTAAAACCAGCTGACCAAACATGTTGGCGCTTTGGGTTGGTTAGTAACCAGCTAGGCTTGGCTGGGGTTGCTAGGTAACGGCACAGTGCCTTTCAGTTGTGACTTAATGCTATGGAGCTTTTTGAAATGGCTCATTTTCCAAACATCAAAATACATGAACTTATTGCCAAAAAATAAGCAGGGTGTTTTTAGAAGAAGTGGAAATTCAAATGGAAGCATAAGGAATTTTCAAAAAGTGAATTTTTCTATAGCAGATCCCCTTTAAAACTATTTTTATTGGTCTGATGTAATTGAAATAAACTGATTCTCTGGTTCATCAAAATTCACATGAAGTAATTTTACCGTTTAGTAGATGCATCACTTTCTCATCATAAGTTATTGAGATGTCCCTGTATGAGTCGTTTTGATAAACGACTCATCTTCTTGATAGAAGAGTTTTCTTCTATCAAAAACTCTCTCTGATAAATGTTTTTTATTTAAACCTCCACATCATTATTTAATCACTGAGTCACTCTGGAAGCATTTAAGTTATTAGTATTTTATTAGCCGTATATCAGCTGCTTAATCGTACAGATAACATCTGAATATCTTATCGTGTCCAGGCAGCTGCACATTGAGATTGTTGCATTATTCACACTGTAATTAACTGTGCAATTAGCAAACAAAATATGGGTGCCAAAGGTCTCCTAGCTGGCTTTCTCCTAACTGCCCTGAACTTGGCATTAGGACACTGAGGAGCTCCCTGCAGCCCCCACGACCTCCCAGGCAGAGTTTTCTCCTTGACACAGCTCCGCATGTTTTCACTGTGGATCCTGTGCTCATAAAAGACACTAATTAGAGGGCATCCTTCAGCTGAGTGCAGTTATCAGTCAGTCATTTCTCGTTTATGGCCCTTTTTATCCAGCTTCTATAAAACTCTGCTGAAGTGGTGTATATCTGGCTTAAGGAGCCTGAGGAGGAGATAAGACTCGTATCATGTCTCCGTATCAGCGGTGAGGTTAACTCTTCCTCCTCAGGGTTGCAACCCTTGGCCAGACACAGAGTCGAGGCTCTGACAGCCGCCCACGCGTTTCCAAAACTTTAGCTGTGTGTGCACTAACGCTGGAGTCGCTGTGTTGACAAAGCCGCTGCTTTTCTAGGAGGCATTGTATCCACGCATCTTAAGGCTTTTTTTTCTTTTTCTTTGAGCGATATGCAAGACGCTGACATGAACCGATCAGAGTGACTGATGCATGCGCATGCAAGCAATGCGGATTCAAATACCTCTCTGTTAAGTTCCAGTCAAACAGATACTGTACTTAAGGCATGAGAAAAGAGCTGCAGTCCAAATCCCATCCAGCCGAGCTGCGGTGAGTCAGAGCAGCTCGGGCAAACATTGTTGTCTGGCGTGACTCATTAGCGCTCTGGCACATGGGCAGCCAGAACACGTGGACGAGCGCGCATTGGGCAGGTCGAGGCAAAGAGCCGCAGCCATTAACACCTGGACTAATCCCCTGATCTGCCTCACACCATGCAGGCATCCTGCACAATTAACCAACAAAGTGCAAAAACGTGAGCCTCCATGTGAACCGTCAGGTTGTGGTTCCATATGATTTTTAAATTTAATTTTATTTATTTACTGTTCATTTGTGTTATTTTATTTTTTAAAATTTCGGTTTAATTGGAAATAATTAAAATTAATTGAATATTTTTTAAATATGACTGTAGTGCAAAGTGCCTTTGAGTACTTTGGGCTAAATAAAGTATTAATTTATTGTATTTCATCACATATTTATCAATTTAATTTAACTTAATTTATTTTAATTAAAAATATTTTATTTTTTGTTAATTTACTATATTTTTAAAATTTCATTTAACCAAATATATTTTTAATTAAATAATTTTTTGGCTTTAATCAGTATGTGGATGACATACTTATATGATATATAAATAAAACGCTATACAAACATAGGCCACTTTTTATTTTAATTCATAGCATATTTATTAATTTGATTTATTTTAATTGCATGTATTTTATTTTCTGTTAATTTAATTTACTTTATTTTTTCAGTTTAATTTAATTAAAAATAATTTTATTTAATTAAATAATTTCTGGGGCTTTAATTTAACTATGCAGTACTGATTATGCATGAATGGGCAGATGACCGAACGTACAGCAAAGTGCTTCTGGATCCTTTGGACTGAATAAAGTGCTAAACAATCAGAGCACATTTAATCATTTATTTAGTTTTATCTTTGCAGGGTTGCAGCAGATTGTGTTCCTACCTACAGAGAGTAGCTCACATGGCCAAACACTGCGGTTAAGAGGCCTTTGTAAACAGCAGCCAGCCTGCAGTGACTCATTGCATCAGCATGCATACTTGTCTTTTGGCACTCAACGGTTCCCATCACATTTCTGAAGTCTGTGTCCGTGCCAATCATGCCCGTCCCACTTACAGTTCGAACATCAGGTTCAGAAAGAAGTATGTACTGCAATTAATTTCCAGTACAGAGAGCTTTGATGGTCTCTGGAAACAACCCATGTTCTCTCTGTGCTTTACTTGCAGTTTCAAGTTCTCAAAAGTAAACACACTCAGACACACACCTGTCTACCGGGCCGTTATGGCAGCTTTGCATATCCTGTCTCCGCATTTGAACAGGACTTAAAGCGTAATCTCTCCCAGAGGACACAGCTAATATGTTCTTCGTAATAAAACAAACCAGTCTGATGTTTTCTTTTTTACGCTGTGATGTTTAATCACAGACTGTTTTCCAGGAACTGTGATGTATAATTTATGCAAGCTGAAGCATTTGTTGGGTTACTGTTGGAGTTTTATTTGGTCAGCGACAACCCACAGAGTAAAAACTCGGAGAGTTTGTTCTCACAGTGACATTGGATGGGACTCGGTGCCCAACCAGTAATTGACTTTGGAACATTCAGTCCTCCTGGTCGAACCTCTTTGTTGTGCCTCATGAGCTCATAAAACTGTTAATTTAATTTAAGGAATGCAGATATTCCTGCTGATTCCTTCAGGGTTATAAAAAGAAAGTACGTGACAAATGAGGTCAATCGGGACGCCAGTGCGTATGTACAGAGTAACTCGTAACAGCGTTCAGTTCCTTCAGGTTTCCTGACGTCTTCCCTCAACCAAGTCTGTGTTCAGGCTGTCCTGTCATCTTCCTTCACCAATAGTTGTAAAGGTCTCTCAAAGACTTAACTAGACGAAACTCAATGGATGAAAAAAAATGCAAAGAGCACAGAAGACAACAAGTCCCAGTAGAAGTGACTCAGAGATCTGATCAGAACCCAGATGTTTTTTGGGTCGGAGAACCCGGCGCTGACCGAGAACTCTCTGGACGGACTACATTTCCAATCTGGCCTCAAAACTTGTTGGAGTCCCCCAGAAGGAGATTGGCCTCCTTTCTGGGCCTTTTCGCCACTAGATGCTGGACTGTGTAAACTGATTGGTGTTTGCAGGGTGGTTTTGTTATTTCTGGGTCTGAGAACCCAGAAAACATCTGAAATTTGAAACCAGTTCAAATGGCAAAAAAAATGGCAGCAGCTTCATGCTCAGAAGACCTGAGTAAAGTTGGCCCCACCGCTTTCTTCACATTGAACAAAACTGGTGTCAAACGGTGGCACAGGAAAAAAATTAATTTGTACTACTATCATTTTACAGATATTAATAAACATTAAGAGGTCATCAAAGATATTATGAAATGTTTCCGTAGGTCATCGAAGGTCAACCAGCCAGTCCACATTTACAAAATCAAATGGGAAATAGTACCAAACAACTACATGAAGCAAAATGTTTTGTTTCTGCTGTTTCAATATTTAAAAACAAAGTTTCCACAGGTCACTGTAGATCAACCCTCTACGCCACTAATCCTAAATAATAAAATCAAACCAATTCATATAAATTAATCGTAATTATTTGTGCGGCTACAATACTTGTAGCACAGATGATTGACAAGAAATGTGCTTCATTTTGCAATTGTGGACTGGTTGTTTGACCTTTGATGGCCTCTGAAAACATTTATTAATATCGTTAAAATGATAGTGGCATGAATATTTGACACCAATTTTGCTTAATTTGAAGATGGCAGGGGGAATCTTTCTACCCTCAGGTGAAGCTAATCATGCTAATCCTGAAAGAAAATCTGCTAGCAGCTCCAAAAGACTTGAGACAGGGGTGAAGGTTCACCTCCAAGCAGGACTTTGACCCCAAACACACACCAAGAGCCACAAGATCAAATCTGCTTAAGTTTAAAGTTGCTGTCTACAAACTTTCACCCAGCAAGAATGGGGTTAAAAACGGCCAAAGACATCCGACTCTGTGCAAAGCTATTCTTCAAAAATGTTTAAAAACCAACGATTAGTTCTTTTAGACTCAACAATTATGCAGCCCTTTGTTGTTCTATCACATAAAACATAGAAGTTCATGGTTGTGAGGTGATAAAAACTTTAAAAAGTTTAAATGGTATACTTTTGCAAAACATCTTTAACAAGCCATTAAAATGAAGATTTATCTTCCCCTTAATTTGATAAACATGTGTGGTCAAAGTGTGAATCATAACTTAGCCTCCATCAGCACGAGGCCTCACGGCTGGCACACATTTCAGTCCAGATCCCACAGTTTGTTACTCATTACTCAAGTCATAACGTTGTGTTGCCCCTTGTTGATTGCTTAATTGTTTCCAATGTCTGTTTGACAGCTGTGCATAGTGAGGGGGAGATGGAGCAAAAACTCATAGTTTACACTCCAAAAACCGCCTCTTGCAGATGTTTTTAGTGACGCAAGAACACAGCCCAGATTCAGACCGCAGGCAATTCAGATACAATATGGTTTATTGTCCCCACAGGGAACATTTCAGACTTACACTGTTGAGCACATGAATACCTTCCACGTTACATCAAAAAATAATGTCATAATAAATTGCACATACGTAATTCCCAGTGTCCATGCAGATTTTTGCATGGCCGTTACATGTAACAGAGACTGTACCGACCCAACTGTAAAACACAGTGATGCTATTACGTAGCTCCTTCAGACTAACAGATGTTTTGCTGCGGAGAGATGTTTAGGACGGAGTGTGTACAGTGTTTTCCTCTAGCAAGTAACCAGATCCCACTTCTATATGCCTGTGTTGCTGTGGAAATGGACAAACAGTCCTGATGAGGAAGTTTTCCAGCTGTTTTCTGTCATTTCGTGCATCGCACGTTGCCAGTTCCAGCACGCATTGTTCTCAGACTTGCTGTCGATCTGGATTTGAATTCGTCATAACATGTAACTATCTGACTTGACTTGGCAGTGTGCACAACAAGCCATTTCTGGATGCTCTTAGGGACAAAAACATTCCCCATTTCTCGGCTTACTTGCATGTCGAGTGTTTATTGAGGAGGTCCATCCATTATCTTCCATTTATCTGAGATTATCCCTTTCTACAGCAACACTCTTGAGCTCATACTGGGGGATTTCCCAGCCCAAAAGGGAATAAGTCAGTTCAAGTGCATAATAAGAAAGTACTGCTTCTCATTCAACATCTGCTAATGTCTTTTCTTTGAATATAAATACACATATTTTTTTCTTTTCAGCTAAATGTCACAGCTCATCAGTTTTCATGTTGAATTAGATGTTGAAATATCAAAAGACATTACAGGGTCTAATTTTCTAATCTGCAGCAATACGGTGTTGCTAACAGACTGAAATGTGTCCATTTGATGGGAAAATATGTAGAGGATTGAAACTTGACATCGACCTGCTTTAAAGACTTCAGACAGGATTTGAACTTGCTGATCAAAAGGCTGAAATTTGATTTGATTTGTCTAATA